TGAGACAACCTCCAGTCTGGTGTCTTTATGTCTCTGTGTCAGCAGTGGGTCCCCTGGGTCTCCTACCACAGTATCCCTTGTCATTCAGGTGGTGACAGTGCGAGCTGACACTGTTGCACCCTGTGCCTGCAGGTTGAATCTGTTTGGAAGTTGATCGAGGTTCTTTATCCACCATATGAACAATCCTTCGTTTCAATCTGTCATCTGTTTTTCTCTTTTGTCCACGTCCAGGGAGATTAAGCTACAGTGCCATGGGCTGTAAACTTCTTGACAATGTTGGCACAGTAGACACAGGAGCAGCCAGATCTCTGGAGATGGACTTGGAGCCTTGAGACTGTCCAGGCTTTTCTACTATTGTGGTTCTCACAACAATTGTTTGCTCTTCTTTCTTCTCTCCATGCCCAGTGTGGTCCACACCACACAAAGGTTGTCGACTTTTCTCCATTTTAACTGGTTGCAGTGTGATTTCTATGTTGCCAGCATTACAAATTAGAGGGGCATCACAGGCTGGAAATACAGCTATTTCTGATGACTTTGAAAAGGTGTCAATAATTTAGTCCAGTCCATTTTTGGTGTCAGTGCCTGACACAGGTGAGCCAGGGTCATCCTGAGCCCATGTGGTGTTATTGCTTATAGAAAAGTGACTATTCTTGATGCAGTGCCGTCTGAGGGATCAGAGAGCTCGGTCATCTAGCTTAGGCTCGGCCCTCGGCCTTTGCACACTGAAAACCCTCCAGATTCCTTGAATCTTTTAATGATGTTCTGTACTATAGAGGGTGACAGATCCAAATCCCTTCCTATCTTTCTTTGAGGAACATTGTTTTTAAACATTTCAATAACTTTCTCACACATACAGTATGTTGGCAAACTGGTGGTTCTCTGCCCATCTTTGCTCCTAAAGAGCTCGGCCTTTCCTTGATGCCACTTTATACCAAATCATGATGAAATCACCTATTCACATGGAGTCATCATTTCATTGATTTACCTCATTACTGGCCCTGAAGTGCAGCTGTCCAAACTTTTTTTGGACTGTGTTGCAGGAATCAGAATTGAAATGAGTTGTTACAATTTAGCTGGCCTCAAATTCCCTATGAATAATCACATCACCAATTCCAAATTACCATTGTCATTTGAAGGTTTATTTAATTTTAGTCTTGCAGGGTCTGGAATTAACACCCGCTAGGTGCCACATGCAGGTAGATTTTCCATCTGGTGAGTAAATCTCAGAAGACTTCCTGCCACACTAGCAGGGAGCGGTAACATGTGTAAAGCGTGATTGATATTTGAGCCGTTAGATGGGCATTGTAATTGGCTTGATTGATTAAAATAGGAGTGTATTGGTTACACGCCTCAAAAACATTGGTGTAGACACTTAATGTCCATGTCTGTCTATCCCATCACCTGACCATAGCCATTAAGACCGAAAGTGACTGTGGGTCCCTGTAGGAACACGGGCGCACACGTGTGCATTCGTCACGCACTGACACAGGCAGGAGACCAGATCAGATGTCTTGGACCGTGAGAAGAAGGAGGTCACTGCGGTTATAGTGTGGACTCTCAGGACTCAGGAGGAGCTTTAAGCAAAAAGGCACTTAATTATTTTGGCCTGTAAAATAAATTTACAGATTGATTTCATCTACCACCCGCTTTGGCTGATGAGTCAAAGTTAATTTCAGTCTTGTCTTGTCAGAGTCTTAGAGTTTATTTCTATTTTTCTTTGTGTGATGTTGTTTTACATGTATATGTGATTGTTCAAAGTAAAATATAACAAAGAAACAACAAATAAAATGTACTTTAGTGTTTTCTGCATTGAATGATACACATGGCATTTGTTGCTGTTTTCAGAACTGGAGGCAAAAGTGAGGAAGCTGAAAAGGGAGCGCTGTTTGTGAGTATACTGTCAGTTTACATTTTAAATAGAATAGTAATGATGATAATAACATAAGCATTGTTTGTTTACCCTAGCTTCCAAATGGTGTATTCCAGTATTCTGGTGGCAGTGTTTATATTTACAGTATATCAGCACCTAATCAAATTCACAGCTCCATCAGTAAAGGCCTTTTTCCTTTATAGGCACCTACAGAAAATGTTTTTGATCATATAAAGTTCAGTGTAAAAGAGAGTTGGACATTTCTGTATATGTCCTGTATCAAGAGAAGCTCAGCGGGATGTATCATGGGGACGGAAATTGTAGCTGGATATGTGGACAGACATAAAGTTAATTGGGGCGAGAGTAGAGGATGCCGAGGATAGAGTTAGGTGGAAACAGATGATTCGCTGTGGCGACCCCTAACGGGAACAGCCGAAAGAAGAAGAAGATGTGGACATACATAAACCTTAAAAAAAACAGCTTGGATCTACTCATATTTGAACTTGTAAGGTGCTACAGGACTGAATAGTTGCAATATGAGTCAAAATGTTTGTCCGTGGATTTTTAAGATAATGAAATTTACTCAAGCTTTTCCGTAACACCCCTGACAACACAGGTACCAGAATCAACGTTGCACTCAGACCCCTCCACCACATTAAGGTGGCAGTTGTCAGAGGAGCATCTGATTAGGGTGTCTTCTGTGTACGTCCATCTGGTAGGAGGCCACAGGACAGGCCCAGAATATGCTGGTGAGATTATACATCTTATCTAGCCTGGGAATGCCTCAAAGTCCCCCAGGAGGACTTGGAAAGTGTCACTGGGGAGAGGGATATTGGGTTGGGCTGGACCTCCTGCCCCTTTGACCTGATCCTGAAAAGCAAGATAAAGTGAATGAATGGATGGATGGATGGAAATGTGTACTGGCTGCCTATTAAGCCTTTTGGTTTTTATTTAAAAATACAATAAAGGTCACTTTATTACTATATATTACTTTAAAGGTCACCACTACTTTCATTATGCTTCTTTCATCAGCTGTTGTACAGTGCCTTAGATTTTTTATTACCTATGTATCTGCGTTATATTTCACTTAAATTGTCTGGCATTCGTGTGGACGGCAAAGTAAGAATTTCATTGTAGAGGGAAATGCGTTTCCTCACTGTGCATATGACAATAAACCCTTGACCTTTTAAAAAAAATCCTCTCATTTTACAGAGTAACTCCTGCAGTTATTATTTTAGTTAACAAATCATTTGAACATGCTTATACAAATAGTATTAATTGATTCAGTAATATCTGAGTCATGCTGCTCTGAAGAATAGAAATGAGGCTGCTTTGCTTCTACATCTCTGTGTTTGCTCCATCTGACCTGTTGCATCTGCACTTCTCTGCAGCACTGGTTGAAGTCTGGAAATATTCGAAACAAATTGGAATGCTGATCCCACTAGTCGGGGCTGTTCACTTTTCTTAAGTTTCTAATGTTAACTCAGTTTAGCTAACACTTTTGGTCCAAACTGTATGTACCTCCTCAATACAAGTCCTTTGAGTCTTGAGCAATATTTTTCAATATTCCTCTGGACTGAGGGAGTAAACATCAGAGTTTGAGAATTAGCATTACTCACTTAATGCATTTCTACTCTTCTGTTTGTACACTTCGGAAAAATGTGTCTAAGAGTGAAGCTATTGAATTTTTTTTTTTGTGTGTGTGTGTTTCTATTTTCGGTGTTGCACTTTGTAGACGGTCCCTTCCCAGCCGACTAACAGCCGACTACACATACACCATTTCCTCAAAATAGCTTGTTTTGATGAATATCAGGTTGTAGCTCCTTGTCTGTTTACCATACCATACTAAAGAGGTAGCGCTGTTTGTGTTTTAACATCGTGCCACTTATTATTTGTTAATTCAGCAACTTTGAATTTGTGAATATTTCTTATGCTACTTTAAAGTTTTTTGATATTTTCTCAGGCAAGTAACATTTAGATTTTGAATACCTGGTCTGTCAATTCAAGTAATGCGTATTTGGAGATTTGCTCCATCATTTCCAGAGATGAGTACCTCTAGATGCCATTGAAGTTTTATTTCGTATAGGCTTCGCCCTCTAAGAACTATCGCTATTGGGTTCACCACTCATGCTTGCACAGTCCTGAAGAGATTTTTTCGCACCCTGTGCCCTGCATTGGGCTGTCCCCAAAACATGTCCGCTGCGATGGCATAAATGCCACTGTGACCTGTGATAGGCTCCCTCTTTTTCTTCAGCAGTCTAAGAAGAAACATCATGGGTAAGTACATTCCCTTCTATCATGTCTGAGAGCCATTCCTCACTGCCAGACTCCAGTGCCGCGCCGCCATCACCGTGTGCCCAGGCTGCGACTCGGGTTTCATAATATGTTCACACGCCAAGCCAGCGCTCTCCCCCAGGCAGCTTGCCCCCCCCTTGGTGCTCGCTTGCCCACAGTGGAGAAGCGCAGGGCGGAGGAGTTCACAGCGATCAGGGCAGGGCCCTGACAATGCACTTTTCCAGTACGACAGTCTGCCCTTCGGCTATTCACTGGCCCCCCCCACATTTTTCTAAGTGCGTGGAAGTGGTGTTAGTACCGCTACACAGAACAGGAATCAGAATCCCCTTTTATTTGACGATCTGATTCTGATGGTGTGCCCCAGACCTCAAGCAGTTTTTCACACAGGGGGCTGGTGCAACACCTGGCACAGCAATTTTTTTTTTCCCAGTAAACCCATATGGAAAGAAAGAAGGACAAGCGCTCACCGGTGCCCTCCCAGACAATTTTCTTACCTGGGAGTGCACTCAGACTCATCAGGCTGCCCTTCAGTTATTCACTAGCACCCCCACTTTTTTCTGAGTGCAGTGAAGCGGCGCTAGAACCACTACGCTGTGCAGGAGTCAGAGTCCTCTTTTATTTAGATGACCTGATTCTGATGGTGTGCGCCAGACATCACACAGCGGTGCTGGTGCAACTCCTGACACACCTGGTTTTTGCAATAACTGGACGGTGCCCACCCAGAAAATCGTCTACCTGGGAGTGCACTTCGACTCTGTCAGCCAGTCATGTTGTAGTTCCCCTTGGTCTTCTTTATACGAGGAAGTCTCAGAGGTGGTTCAGCCGTCTGTGCCTTGACCCGGTGCACCACAAGAGGCGCGTGCTCACGATTTCCCCCTTGATCCAATCAAACCTGGAGTACTGGGGAACTCCCACCGTCAACACACTGGGAATTGCCCTGGGCAGAGCCACATCACACATCTCAGTGTTCACAGACTTGTCTCTGCTCGGCTGAGGAGGCACGTGTTTGTCACAGGATGTGGGAGGACAGTGGGATCACACCCTGTCTCTCCACATCAACTGTCTGAAACTAATTACAGTGCTGAAGGTAGTGAAACACCTTGCACTGGTGCTGAGAGGAAGACACGTAGTGGTGCGATCAGACATTGCAATACGTTGCATACATCAGCCGTCAAGGTGGTGCTGGTTTTGCCAGCTGCTGACAACTGCAGGAAACTCCTGCTCTGGGCTCTTCAGAACCTGCTCTCCCTCAGAGCCGTGCACAGAACCGCACTGCAGATCTCATGTCAAGAGGCGGACCTTAGCCCAGCAAGTGGAGGCTCAATCCGTCCCTCGTTCAGACACTGTGGGACAGGTTCGGCCCAGTGGTGGCAGGCCTGTTCGCAGCACGTGGGAACACGCGGTGCCACCTCTGTTTTTCACCAAACGTTCAAGAGGAATGGCTGCGCATTCTCCTGACAGTTCCGGAGCACGCAAGTGCTCTCTCATCTGCTCGGCGCCATCCAGGGTGCCCCGTGCCAGGTCAACGGCTGTGGGCCTGGCCCCTGATCAGGAGTGACTGGAGAGCCTAAGGTTGCCTCTGGCGGTCATACACACAATTCAGTGCACGAGAGCTCCGTCTATTACGGTACCTTAAGCTACAAATGGTCAGTTTTTCAACGTTGCTGCATTGAGAGGGGCACAGCTCCCACTTCCTGCCCACTGTCTTAAGTGCTGAATTTTCTACAGATCCTGGTAGAAACCTGTCTCTGTCTACCGTGTAAGCGTATGCCGCTGCCATCTCTTCATGCCATGAAGTTTTCTGGTAAGTGACCTCTGTTTTGCACACCCGGTGGTGAAATGCCTTCTCAGGGGTATAGGCAGACCCTCTGAAACTGAATCCTGCCTATGCGTCGAAAATAATAACATCCCTTGTTTGATCCAGAGTCATTACATGGATGGGTTCTTTCCTCTACTCCACAGAGATGAGTCAGAGAAAGAACTTCATGCTCTCTGTCCGGTGCGCACACTGTTCCATTACCTGGCGTGCATGGCAGCTGTCAAACAGACACAACAACTGTTTGTTCATTGTAGGAGACATTCTCTTGGACACCCTTTAGCCAAACCACGGCTGTCTCACTGGCTGTGTGAGGCTATCACACAGGCTTACATGTTAGCTGGGTGTGATCCCCCACCTGGCATCAGAGCCCACTCTACGAGGGCTATTGCATCTTCCACTGCCCTCTTTTAAGGCATGGTTGTGGAGGACATCTGCACGGATGGGCTGTGTCTTTTGACCCTATTCTACCTTCGGGACGCATCCAAGTTTTTCTACTGGCTCACTCGGTCCTGAGTGTTCTACGCGACCGAGTGGCTTCCCTCTTCGTGGAATGCGAGCGCACAACCACCACCACATGTGTGTTCTTTTCGCTCGGGTGATTGCTTGTTAGCCTTGTACACTCACTTGACTGTACTATCAATGCAAGCTGCCGTTGTACCCTCTGTGTGTGTGTGTGTGTGTGTGTGTGTGTGTGTGTGTGCGCGCCCTTCCTGCATACACGCACTCTGTCTGTACACTCTCCATGGTACTCGTGTTCTTTTTTTCACCTAATTATGGTCAGCTAGCGGCACCGTCACCCTTACTGTTCTCCATTGGTAATTTTGCTATTAGTACTGTGAGACAACAGCTGCGTAATATGGGCATCTGATTATCTCTGTACGCTGCTAGCGCCCATATGCTCTTGCAATTTAACTGTTATTTGTGCGCTCTTCCCTGCACTTCTCCTCCCCTGTTAACAGATGGCCATTCTGCCTTCTTACAGTGGCAGTCAGGTGTTTATATGTGCATGATTGCACCTGCTTCTCAGGTAAGGCCTGATACAGGAGAGAGGATATTGTTTGGGCTGCTATTATGGGGTATGTTGGCAAGCTGAGGTTTGTTTTAATGCTCTTGGGCGGTGGTGTGCTAACAGGGCATTGACTACATCCAGCTGTGCTTTTATCCCAATAGTGACAGCTCATAGAGGGTGAAGCCTGTACGAAATAGAATGATGGTTACGTTCAGTAACCCAAGCTTCTATGAGTATAGGCGTAGCCCTCTAAGCTGGCAGCCCTGCTGTCTCCACCCCCACCAGCTGAAGAAAAAGTGCTGGTGTAGGGAGCCTATCACAGGTCACAGTGGCATTTATGCCATCGCACCGGACCTGTTTTGGGGACAGCCCAATGCAGGGCATAGGGTGCGAAAGAATCTCTTCAGGACTGCGCAAGCGCGAGGGGTGGACCCAGTAGCCACAGCTCTTAGATGGCTACACCTATACTCATAGAAGCTTTGGTTACTGAATGTAACCATTGTTTCCTGCTGTCTTGAATATTTGAAAATCAACACTGAAAACTGATTGCCTACCCAACGAAAGAATATCCAAATAGTCGAATAATCAGGTCTGGCCCTAGTAATAACCCAACATAGAGTCATAGTAAAAAGAAAGTACACCCTCCTTCAGTTCTGTTTTTATTTATCAGGGCCTAAAAACAATCGTCAGGTCCTCAACAACTTCTCTAAACAAAAACAACCTGGCAACAACAACAGCAAAAAACAAAAAAATAAAAAAAAACAACTGATTTTAGAAACCAGGTGGGAAATTACCAGTGCGCAATATAAATTGCAACATGCAGAACCACCAATATCTTGAAGAAAGTATTTTCTATAGGAGTTTACTACTGTCTCATGTCATTTTGGAGAAATTCTGGCCCCTATACAACATTGCTTCAGTTCATTGATGTCTGAGGTCCTTCATTTATGCACAGCTCTTTTGACATCCTGCCACAGCATCTCAGTTTGGTTGAGGTCTGGACTTGGCCATTCCAACACCTTGTTTTGTCCTTCAAGTGTCGATTTGCTGATGTACTTGGGATCATTGTCTTGTTGCATGACCCAATTTTGGCCCACCATAAGCTGCTGGACAGATGGCCTCACATTTGTCTCAAGAATATTCTGGGATAAAGTAGAGTTCACTGTTGTCTCAGTGACTGGAAGTTTGCCAGGTCTCATGGCTGCAAAACAAGCCCAAATCATCACACCTCCACCACCACATTAATAGTTGGTATGAGTTGTTTATGGTGATACACTGTTTCGTTTTTACCAACCACGGCACTGTGCATGATGAGCAGTCAGTGCCACACTGGTCTCGTCGGTCCAAGGGACACTGTTCCAGAACTGCTGCTGCAGATGCAGCTTTGCAAAGCTAAGTCATCCTGACATTTTCTTTTTGAACAGAAGGGCCTTTATCCTAGACAGCTTTTTGTGAAAGCCATACTTGTTCAGTCTTTTATTTAATTGTCCTGGCATGAGCATAAACATTTAATGTGCTTACAGAGGGCTGCAGGTCATGTGATGTAGCTCTTGGATTTTTCTCCGACCATTAAACCATGTGACCTGGGACTGAGTTTGTTGGGACAGTCACTTCTGTGCTCACTCTTGCACAGGCCCTCTTTGTGGACTTCAGCTCGGCATTTAATGCCATCATCCTGGACATCCTCCACTCCAAACTGGCCCAGTTCATTATGCCTGCCCCCACCTGTCGGTGGATTACTAGCTTTCTGACAGACAGAGAGCAGCAGGTGAGGCTGGGGAAAACCACATCCAGCACCTGGACAATAAGCACAGGCGCCCCCCAGGGATGTGTGGTCTCCCCTCTGCTGTTTTCACTCTGCACCAACGACTGCATCTCGAAGGACCCCTCTGTCAAGCTCCTAAAGTTTGCTGATGATACAACAATCATTGGTCTCATCCGAGACGGTGATGAGTCAGCCTACAGACGGGAGGTTGAGCAGCTGGTCCTGTGGTGTAGCCGCAACAACCTGGAGTTGAACACGCTCAAAACAGTGTAGATGACAGTGGCTTCAGGAAGCCTGCCTGTTTATACTGCTTATTTTGCATTTTTTACACTGTTTGTTGCTTGTTAATACTGCTTATTTTGTTATACTACACAGCCTTACACTGGTTTACTGTTTATTTGCCCCTTGCATGTTGGATATGTACATACACCTTGAGAGCAGATGCACCAGAGTCAAATTCGTCATGTGTCTGACACACCTGGCCAATAAAGATGATTCTGTCTTTAAAGCTCTCCATTTGTAAACAAGCTTTCTCATTGTAGAAAGGTGAATCTCAAATTGTTTGGAGGTTTCCTTATAAAAATGTCCAATTTTGTGAGCAATGACTGTGGTTAGCGTCTTTTTTTTCTTGGCATGATGTAGGCATACACCTCAGTGCTCCAGAATACCACACTGCCAACAGTGTGTTGGTTTACCTTTGGGAAACAGTAATCACATATTTAAATTTGGCTTTTTTTTTTGTTGTATTATTTTTTTATTTATAGAGGTTTATTTATGATTATGAGTTAGTTATTGCAGCGGGGAAAAAATGCATGAAAATTGTGAAACATGTTTGTTAGATACCACAGACCAAGGTGATGATGTGATTATATATGACAAAGAAAAACATCAAAAACTCAAATTTGATGAGCTGGGAACAGCAAATGTTTGCCATTTTTTGCTTAATATGTCCGTCGACCAGCCAATTCATTAACTGGCTAATGGTTGCATCTCCAAAACTGATGTGCTGTTTGCTTTTTACAGAGATGCTGAGAAGCTTGAGGTATTTCACAGTCGCAACCAACAGCTGAAAGAGCAAAATGAAGCCCTGCAGAATGCCATTGGTCTTTTGGAGGAAAGGTAACTTTTCCTCAGAAAAGTCAAG